GCCATTAAATTTACAATCACGTGGCCATTTAGCAAGAAGGTAGAACGGTTGGGACAGTCATAAATGTGCCTATGAAGCAAACACCCATCACTAACCTCTAGAAAATTAATAATGCTAGTTGGCTTGGCGGAGATGCTAGAAGAAAATATATGCCCACGATGTCAATATAATTTGACAGCTGGTTACTACAAATAACTTTAGCAACAACTTTATCATGTTTACCTGGCTTATTTCATCAAATATACTTTTTTTTTTTTTTTTTTGGGGGGGGGGTAGAAGAATAACGATTGCATACCCTCCCACACCCCATCCCTTTTCAAATATACTTTCGACACTTCTTCGTGTGTAGGCACGCGTGTACAAGGTCTAAATGTAAGTACTTATACAGACCTTGCGCGTGTACACATAAATGAAGCCATGCGTTCATCTCTGTACATTCGCGGTCAATATTCTTATCAAACCTGTTTCGAATCCCGCTTTCGAACCTTCGTTGAACACCACACTTTCCGTATAGGGTAAGACAGATTCAGAGCTTCATTTCGTGACATATCATTTTTGTCCTTCGCTGTACGTGCGTGTATGCGTACGTATATATGTGCAGAAACGAAGCCAGGGTTTTCAAGTGGAACCTGGAACTATTAAAGCGAAGCCGTGGTGGACCGTTACGGCTTTCTCGAGCCCTTGCATGACTGAATTGTTTACTTTTGTGCCAACGACCTATGGAAGTCATTGTGTTGTTCAACTATTAAAAAACGAATTAAAAATCTTAATGGGATTGAGCACGTGCTATGCCACTGTGTTAGTGTTAATGCTGGTGTGCGTGTGTGTGTGTGTGGGGGGGGGGGTACGTGCGTGCGTGTGCGTGTGTGCGCGTCTGCGTAAAAAAAAAAAAAAAAATAAAAAAAAACATCATTCACAACCAATATTGCACTCAATCGTTACCTGGAATTATAAACTTCATTTGACATCATATTAGTAACAATTATCAACATTACAAAAGGAACAGACGTCATGGGCGTTCGGATTCTTAGAATACTGTCCATTACAATCGGAAAAAAATTATATGAATGAGATTATCTCCACAACACAAGAGGTGCATTCAACAAATCTTGGGTCACACTAACCTCTGTCCTGGAATCCCTCCACAGCCTCGCCGAAATCAGGTCAGCTGACAAAAAAAAACGTAGCTGACCAGATTTTGGCGAGGCTGTCTTGGGATTCCATGGCAGAGAAGACAAGTGTGACCCTAACTTAACCGATTTCAATGACCATCTTTCTTAGAAATAATTTCTGAAGATGATATCACTGAAACCATTCAAATAAATATCTTGCTCTGTGAAGGTATTTCTTCTCACCCATACCTTTTTCTACATAAAGATTAGTAACAGAAACATTTTGAATATTTGCAAACTTAAAGCCCCGTGTTAAAACAATCAACAATAATAATATGTAACACACTGCACATTCACATTACACATCTAGAATGGAACCAACCTTCAGAAGAAAAACTTTGTGCTTTGTTCGTGCGTTTTGGTTTCCTATGCCATGTTTATATTCTCGGATTGTGTGTGCAGTCAAAACCTGCTTCGTTTTAGTGAAAAGGGTTTCCTTTCAATGTAATTTAAGAAAAGATAATAGCATCACCTCAGAAACGGACAGACCCACCTACAAACGGACAGACCCACCTAACAAAAACCCACCTCAAAAACGGACAAACCCACCTGAGAATCGGACAGATCCATCTCACAAACGGACAGACCCACCTAACAAAACGGAGACTCACCTCAGAAACGGACAGACCCACCCAACAAAACGGACAAACCCACCTCACAAACGGACAGACCCACCTCAGAAACGGACAGACCCACCTAACAAAACGGACAGACCCACCTGACAAAACGGACAGACCCACCACAGAAACGGACAGACCCACCTACCAAAACGGACAGACCCACCTCAGAAAGGGACAGACCCACCTAACAAAACGGACAGACCCACCTCACAAAAAAACAGAACCCACCTCACAAACGGACAGACCCACCTCACAAACGGACAGACCCACCTCACAAACGGACAGACCCACCTAACAAAATGGACAGATCCACCTAACAAAACAGACAGACCCACCTAACAAAACAGACAGACCCACCAAACAAAACGGACAGACCCACCAAACAAAACGGACAGACCCACCTCACAAAACGGACAGACCCACCAAACAAAACGGACAGAGCCACCTAACCAAAACAGGACAAATCCACCTAACAAACGAACAACCCACCTCACCAAACGGAAGACCCACCTCACAAACGAACAGACCCACCTCACAAACGAAAAGGACCCACCTCACAAAACGGACAGACCCACCTCACAAAAGGACAGACCCACCAACCCACCTGCTTTGAGAGGGTGCGGTGCTGGCGCAGTGATCTGGAGGGGCGCTCCATGCTGGGGCTGCCTGGCGTGCTGCTTGATCCGTTGTGAACCACTATGGACGGTACTGAAACGAAAATAAAACAGGTGTTTAATATGGGCTGTTTGGTGATTGTTGTTTCACCTTGGAGTCGTATTTTTTTCTTTGTCTTTTTAGATTTCGTTGTGATCATTGCCTTGCTTGGAGTGAGTTCAAAAGCGAAAAAGTATATGGGTGAGTAACCATATCTCCTGCATGGATAATTCGTAACTATTTTATTTCGATGGTAACTCATTTTACGAAACGGCTTCATGAGTAATTTTCTCGGTGATCTAACTTCGTAAATAGTCACAGTATTTCGTGTTTCAACTTTGCTGTTTTTTTTCGTGTTTTGCTTTCGACGAATGAAGATAAATGGTTTGCAAACCACTTTAATCCTAATCAACACATGAAACGAACAGTATTAGTCTTGCTGACCCATTAATAACAATGTAATTACAGCTGATATTTCACCATAATTATCTCAGAGTATTGGCAGCGGGGAGGGTGTCTAATCAAGTCATGTCAGATCAATCGTTAAATTACCCAATTACAGCAATCCAACACATTCATCTTATTATAAACTATTTTTGCTTGTACACACATACACACATATACACACGCACACGCACGCACGCTTACACATAAACAAACACACAAACACGAACAAACGCACGCGCACACACATACACTAGTATAAATTAAAACCTGAGAAATTACCTTGCGCAGTACATGACCTTGAAATAAGGGGGGGGGGATACATATAGCTGAATACGTAGCACAACAACACGATAACAAAATTCATCAAATATTCAAAGAAAATGTACGTAAAGAGGCCCCAACGCCTATAACCTCAAATCGTCCCCCGTAGACAGAACACTCATCTGTCATTAAAAAAGAAAATAAAAAAAGAAAAGAAAAAAAACAGACATACCTAGCACAAGATAGATACAAAAAATCCCATATTTTTTCCTCCACAAAAATATTCCCATCTTCAATCTCGAATCAATAAATACAAAAATCACTATAAATTTCCAAGCCGTGACTCTGAAGCAGCCCCCCCCCCCCACAACCACAAATATTAAGAGTATCAGTTTTGAAAGGGGGGGGAGGGGATTTAAGGCATTTAAGCACTTCCTCGGTTGGTTGATAAGTACGAAAATGTATAAATGGGAATGAATAATATAATGAAGAAAAAAATTCAATGACGGGTTATGTCCTTATCAAATTCCTGACGAGGATATAAGCCTGTGTTACGCAGAATTCTTGCACTGTCGAATATTTCCTTCTCATTCACACATTTTTCGACTAAGATCCTGAAGAAGGGGTCGACTTCCCTTTCATGACTCCTCTTGTGATAGTGAACTCTACCTGTGACAGTGAACTCTACTAGCCAGCATTTCAGAATAGTCTTGTAAGGTTAAATTCCCTGGTTGCGTATTGTTAGACTTAATCCAAGATTTTTTTTGCAAGAACCACGTCACTGAATTATTGGCTTTTTGAGATTTCTGGTATTTTTAAATCCATCTTTATTCGCATTCTTACATCTCTATTCTTTTACTGATCAGACACTGAGTTTTGGCACAAGGGATAACAATAAAACAACTAAAACCTATCGCAAAAAATGTCTGAAAGAGAACTTCGATGAGCGGAGGGCAAAGGCAAAATAGAAACTCCCTTTATCACTTGTTTATTCGAACTGGCGCCGATTCGGACGCTTCCCTTTAAATGTCCCTTTGACCTCACAAACCTACTGAGAGAAAATGAACTCTTAATGACCAAAGAATAGGAAAAAAACGGGTGTATTTCCTCCCCCAATTCTCTCCCTCTCCCTCTCTCTCTCTCAATCTCTCAACTGCGCGAGTGAACAAACGAATAAACAAACTAATTCACCCATTTCTCTATTAATCCATCAATTTAAAGAACAGACGAATAGATGAATGACCCAACGGAAGAACAGTTGAGAAACGAACGTGGACCAAAACAAACGACAACGCCAAGGAAACAGCAACAAGGCGGAACCTAGTTACAACTCTCTCTCGGCTCTCGTTCTCGCTCTCTCTCGCTCTCGTCTCTCTCTCGCTCTCTCGGACCTCCTTTCTTTCTCTTCATTCGTCCTAGCGCGGAATCTACATCAACTTCTTTCCTTATTCTACACGGGCCATGATTCTCCTGGAACTTTAGGCAGCTGTGTTCCTCCCACACGCAGAAGAAATGGAGACAATGCCAGTAAATTCACCGACAAGAGCGTGCGTATATCCTTTAACAATGTTTTTTTTTTTTTTTTTTTTTTTTTTTTTTTTTTTTTTTTTTGCAATGGCGAAGGTTTGCACGCTGAGTAATGTCTAGTTAAGACTGGTACCATAACAATCGTAATTATCATTGTTATCTTTTGTCATACAAGAATGAACACAATGAGTAATTCAAGAAAATTTTCAAATATGATTCTATAAAAAAAAGAAAAAAAGGCCTACAAATATGCCATTTACCAATATAACAATTCAAAAAAATCTCATTGTACTCAATTCTCCCGCTCTCCAGCAGCTGC